CCCCTGCTATTAGATTCATGTGTAAATTCTACATGGGTATGCTTGAAGTCAGTCATTGAGGAATTTGAAAGAATTTTTTTTCACTGAACATGGCTATATTGTATTTCAAATGAATTTGAATGATTAATTTTTTTTTTAATTCAACTTTGTATGTGGTTTGCCTACTTTTGGAATTGCTTTGATATGGAGTGAAGTCAATTGAGTGTTGGTTAATATTTTGTATATTGTCAAAGATACAATAAATGAATGAATATAAATTATAATCGAGTAATGTTAATATTTGTTTTCCTTAATACTTATTATTATTCTTAAGCTCTTAGCCTCTTACTGAAACATTTTCTCAAATTTCATGGCTATTTTTGCTTTTCTTGCAGTGATGAATTCTCCATTTGTTTGAACCATGGTGGCAAATTTAATTTCAAAAATTTAGTGATGGAATATGATGGGTTTGGTTTCAAAATTTTTCGTAAGTTAGATGTAGATAGGTTTGGGTATCTAGACTTGGAGGAAGAGGTGCAGAACTTGTATTACAAAAGTTGGGGTAAATTGTATCTAAATTGTATTATCTAGACTTAAACATATAATAGAGTGAAACAAAGCTAACAATGAACCAAAATGTAAATTTCATATATGTGAGCTTCTTCTCCAATCTCCGAGCTTCAGTCGCAACATCATCAAGTCTCAACTGCAATTCAACTTTTTCTTTTGCTTCAATCTCTAATTTTTTCATCATCTCATTGTTCTCATCTTTCAACTTTAGTATCTCGGAATCCTTCAACTCCAGCCTCTCTGATAGCAGTTGCTCCATTACATTTTTGCTCCTTACTTGCTCCTGCAACCTATCCTTTTCAGCCTTAAGCTTGTTAAAACAACTCTTTTGGAACGGCGGCATATCGGGATTCATCCAAACAAACATGCCACAATCAACCTTGGACTTTTTCTTGGACTTATCCTTGGACTTGGACTGTATAAAAACAAATAATTCACAGCCAATACATAATATAAATTCATGTTAACAGAAAATATCATCTTCATTACTAACAAATTCAATGAACTAGATCATAACAAAATATACTTTGCACTAAATGTTACCAAAACTCTACCTGCCAGTAAGGACATCTGAAGAACCTTCAAGCTGGATTTTCATTAGTATTTGATTGCAACACAACGGCTTCTTCGTCATGATCACATAGCCTTACTTCAATCGAACTTTGGGAGGCTCTGTAATATCGATAGGTAGAACTTGTATGAGAAGCACATGACATGGTGTGAACTGTAGAAATCTACAACATCATCAAACTTCATTTTTTATTTAATAAATGATGAAAATTTATTAAATATTTCAGGTTTATATAGATAAGTATCACTCTCCAAAAAATTGATCATTTTCAGCTGATCAAATATGAGCAAATGGACTCAATTAATACATAATTAACATACATAAAATTCATACAAAAAAAGTTAGAATCAAATAGCTTGAACAACATCCAAAAAAAGGTATGTATCTCCACTTGTAGTGTAACAAACTATTTTTGAAGTTGGATACGTACAAGATAGATGAGATAACGAACACATCTATGTGAATTCATAGCCAATAAAAATAAATTACTGAAACTTGCAATACTAAACAATCACAATCTCGTAATACACTAAGCAATCACAATCCCACTAACGTTGATATATGCATAAAATATCTACCCCTGATTTTTGGAGACCACATACTCATTCAAAATCTTTACATTGCATTGTACTTCAAGGAGTTAAAAAACAATACATCACAAAATGATATATATAGCACAAAATGATATATGCAATGTCAAAGAACAATACAACACTAAATCATTCGACAAGAAATTTTGCAAGAATCCCAAAAAAAGGTCGAAATTCATATGTTCATAGTATTTACTAACAAAATTTAACAGCATTGAAAAAGAAAAAACAGAAAAAAAGCACAAGAATGTCAACTCAAAAGAAAATAACTCAATCAATTTACACAATTTAACACCGAAAGTCTATTTCCAAGACATGAAGCACCTCCTCAGATTGATTGTGAACAAAGATGAAATAACATGGAGAAAAATTTTAGGGTTTTCGAAAACAATTGGGGGAATTCGAAAACGAGGACGAAGAAAGATCATACCTGTTAGCGGGAGGAAGAATTCGGATGAAGAAGGAGAGGGGAACGATTTGCCGTGCGTGAAGAAGGTGGCGATTGAAGAGCGCAGATCGCAGGCCCTTGGGAATGAAGTTTTATGTTCTCTTTTCTCTTCTCTTCTGATTTTGTGCAGAGACCGATTGGGATTTGGAAATATTATCTCTTGAGTGTGATGTGGCCTTCCTATGTGTAAGTGAGATGACATAAAATCTTACGTGGCCTTCCTATGTGTTATTTCGTTTTTTCCACGTCAAAGTTCTGATGCCATGTAAGTTTTCCGATAAGCCACCTCAGCACTAATTGACCGGAAACTTACTTCGAGACTCAATTGCAAAAATTTTAAAAGGTTGGGTATTATTTTGCTAAATTGTAGAAGTTGAGTTTTTTTTTGCAACTTTAGAAAAGGTGGGGTTTTTTTTTGCAATTAACCCTAAAATAAAATAAAATAATTAAAGCTCATACATGTACTTGCTAGAAAATATGTAGCTGTATTTAGAATAAGTTAAATAAAAGTAAATAGTACATTTAGTTTAAATTTATATTCATTAGCCAATCTTATTTATATAATCATCTATAAATTATAATTTTCAAATCACTTCCTTTATAAAAATATTGACAAATATATAAAATAATATTAAGATAAAAGTAAATATGAAAGAATCATCATTTTATAATTAATTTAAAATTGAATTATTTAATTATCACTATTAGGATATTCTTGAAAATTCCAAAATGATAATGAATGCACGACAATGTTAAGAGATGCAACAACAATTTATTTTAATTTGAACAATATATATATATAGATAGGTTCCTTCAATGAAGCAATGTTACGATTATATATATATATATATATATATATATATATATATAGATAAATACCTTTAATTAATCAAGGATGCTATTGTTCCAAATAATTATCAAGTAAATTTTCTTTTTTTAAATAATTACGACTTTAAAGATATTTTCAAATATTTATATCTCTTATCATTATATCAAGAGAGAAAATATATATCTAAATATTATATAGTATTATAATTGCAACATAATTGAATTTGCAACCGTATAATTAAAATAATAGAGAACAAAGCATTCAACCATAGTGTGTTACAATCAACAATAAAAAATAATAATTACAAATTATAGCTATAGCAAATTAGAGTTATTTTTCAAGAGTATCACAAAAAAGAAAGACATTAAAAAACTATATTATATTGACAATAGTAATGTCACTAGTACAACACCCGTGTATTACACGGGTGTTTGCTAATTTTTTTTCTTAAAATTTAAAATTAATGAGAAAAAGTAGTTTGAAAATTTAAATACCTTTTATAAGAATATATATATTATTATATATTTATTATGATACTTTTTATTTGTGCGACTTACTTGTGTTATATTATACTAATTTTTTAACTTACACTATATAACTACATTAAATATAAATATATCAATTGAGAAATAATTTTATTTTTCTAATGAATTTTAAAAATATTATTATTTTTTATTATTATAAAGATAAATATAATTTATTTATTTTATATATACAATATGGATGTCAAATCGAAGATCATCAAAAGATGATTAATTTGATATATTATATATGTAAAACCGATAAGAAATACAAAAGTTATCTACTTTTAAAATACATTTATAATTCAATAGCGTATTGAAGGAAGCAAATCAAAATTTAGGGATATATTAGTCACTTAGTGTCTCACTATGTAAAATTACAAATAATTAAAGGGTTATATTAGTAAAAGTGATATTAAAATACCTAAGTTAACTAAATAATATTTATGGAATACCCGAACCTAGATTATTAATTATTAATATATTAATATTATTTGTCCAAACCTAATTACGAAGCATGATTCTTCGCCAAATAAGATTCCGAAGCACCAGAAGCAGCCACGTAGGCTCAGCGCATTCTGAAATTATATATAGGGAGGATTATTTTCAGCAAATGCCGAGATTATTAAATAATATTATTTTCAGCAAATGCCGAGATTATTAAATAATAAAATCAAAGACGACCTAGATTTATTTAGCATTTAAAATTTCACAAAAAAAAAATATTAATTTTATTTTGGATTTCTAACTCAATATTTGTTTATTTACTTTTATTTGTCATAGAGTTCGTTTAATAGTATTAAATAGTATATCCTTTTATTCAATATATTTATTATTGTTTCTTATAAAATTCACCATTTTTTTTTGGTTAAATAATAGAAAGGAAATTAGATTATACTGTTAAATTAAATCTAATAATAGAATAAATTTTAAGTAAAAGAAGAAGAAACATTATCACGTGCGTAGCATGTGCATCTTCCTAGTTTGTTAAAATAGAGTGCGTAAATCTTGTATGCTTCTGATTATGTATATTATAAACAAGAGTAAACTACTTTTTACAGACACGTTCAAACAAGACTGGCTTTCAAAAGAAAAAAGTAAATGAGTAAATCATACTATTACAATTGTGTTAAACTAATGATCGACCTGAACATGTTTCTTGGAAGTCTACTTATAATGTCAACCAGAAAGTGAGCTTACAACGAAAATATACACAAAGTTTTAACAACATTCTATTAAGTATAAACAGAAGAGTACGCTCGAAATCTTACCAACAATAAAGTTAAATAGTGATAATTTGAATAAGAATTGTTTTATGCAACAATTTTTTGGAATCGACAGTGCACAACATAAGTGAACCATCACACACGCCAGCTACAGAAGGGCAGTGCCGATACACATTTACTCACCCCAAAAAATGGATACAGTACTGTGAACGACTTTTTTTGCTGTTCGATAATGTGTCTACCACACAAAATATCCGAGGGAAAACTCACTTGTTTTTCTTTCCACCGGCCAGAATACGCTGAATCTGCAAACCCCTGCTGAAGGCCTGGTTGAAAAGCAGCCTCGTCTGGAACTCGGAAACAAATGGGAACCAGGCCAAAATGGCAACTGGAGCAAATATGGTCAAACCCATTATGTACTCATAACCTTTTGCCAGTGCTTTCACAGATCCCCATGCTCCCAGTCCCTTCGCTACGGGCCTGCAAGCTTGGGCTATCTGCATTGGTCAACAATGCCACATAGCATGAGAGTTGTTGTTGCTGCTAATAATAATAATAATATTATTATTATTAATAATAATAATAATAATAATAATAATAATAATAATTTTTTTTTTATTTTTTATTTTTTATTTTTTATTTTTTGGTGTTTCACAAACACTCGAGTAGACTAGTACTATAAGCAGGGTCTTTTCTTTTGGATTGAATTTAAGGAAAAGAGACTAGTACTATAAGCAGTGTCTTTTCTTTTGGATTGAATTTAAGGAAAAGAAGTGCGTGCGTGCCTGCAGAAGAGCCCATCCTGTCGGCAGGAAGCCCAATAAGCAGGCGAAAATGTCACCAACAGTGAGCTCCAGGAACTTTATGGAGACGAATAGTATGACAATGAAGGAGATGAAAAGGAATAGCTTCAGGAGCCTGAAAAGCAGCTGGAAATCAGCACTGAACTTTTGCCTCCCCATGGACACAATCTGCGGACCACAGTTTTCAAAATTGTCTTCATCAAATGAGGTTCGACATGACAAACGAGGCAAAATGAGTTCACCGAGAGGTAGATTTTGGCAATTACCTTCAAAATGACTACCACGGCGACAATGACCAGCCAAGATAAACCATAAACCTATAATCATGGAAAAACCCAGAGTTACTACACGTATTCATAGTAAAAAAAAAAATAAAAAATAAAAAATAAAAGTGCTACAAAGAGACGCTACGCTGACCATAATGCTCTTGTCATTTTGGGCTGCATGCAGCTGATAAACAATACCATACTGGTACACGAAGAACCTGAGAGAGAGAAGAATCTCCAAAAACCTCCCGAGCAATCCTGTGTATTGAAGATGCTCCTGCTCCTCAGCCCACCAGGACTCCCAGCTCTTGGTCGCTGGCACACCAATTCCCCCCTGGCTGCTCATCCACTTGGCCCAATCCTCAAAGTCATCCACTATTTTCTGCCACTCGAAGCCAGACGGGTTAAATAGAAATGGCGCAAACAGCCATGAGACCACGAGGAACCACATGGAGAATGTCACAAACACGTAAGCTGTGGAGTCCCCGGCCGAGCCGTACGCCTGGTATACCACGAGCAAGACCATGAGCTCGAGTGCCTTCGTGAAGTGGCTCCTTGAGTACATCCTGTAGTTCTCGGCAAATTTCTCGTGCCTCACGACAAAGCCACGGCCCGTGGCCCGATACTTGGCCCCGCCGTGGAGGATGGTGCGGCCGAAGTAGTGGAGCTTGGTGCCGAGGGAGAAGGTGAAGAAAACGGAAGCCAGCTGGAGCTGCATGATGATGATGTCGCTGGCCGCCGTGCGGAAGCCCCTCTCGAGGCCGATCTCCATCACCATGGGGAGGGCCATGAGGAAGCCGAGCTGGACAATTGACTGTGAGGCCATCACCACGCTAAGGGCATCGTCTCCCTTGGACTTCGCAAAGTGGACGATGCTCTGCTCCAGCCCACTCAGGCTCAGGTACAACTTGCCGTAAAGGTAAGTGTACACCGTCAGGACCACCAACTGGATTCAATTCAATCATGGATTAAAATTTTAGTTACTTGACCACATGAATCACTTTCAAGCGAAACATTTACAGCACTTAATAACTGTCAGATTCAGCAAGTGTACTTTACAACTTAATAATCCTTCAAACACAACACATTACCATTGAGCTGACGTAGAACCCAATGGTTGTATAGTAACATGATAACATGCGGAAAAAGTCAAAACGGTGACCCAATCTGTAGATATCACGGCTCAATGTCTGTTCTCCATTACCACATGCAACTTTCGCCTCGAAAAGTGAAATCTGATTCAGACCCACATCACGCCCCTTCCCGACTTGAATATACTCGTGATGAGTAACATTTCCACGTCTTAGAGTTGTATTAAAACCTTCATTCAGGTAGTAAACCGAAAATTAGAAACTGACTCATACACTAAACTTTCTTTGGTTAAACAAGGGTTAATAAGATGATCTCACCAGCGAAAATATCCTCACTAAGATTGATCCCCCTTGAAGCTTTACTGATGCCACCACGTGTCATATGGAAAATTCTGTCAAAAACGTCTGGATGTCCATAATGGAATCTCACCCTGTAGGGGATCACGTGAAATATATGATTAGCATCTCGGATTGACCATCCAAAGCTAGCTCAAAGGGAGAGCCTGCCCGACCGACTTATATACAATAACAACCCAGTAATTAATCAATGTGGAACAAACATAACTTCTATCAATTAACTATAGTTGCATAGCTAAGTAGAAGAAATCTGATATAGGAAAAAAGGCTATTGATTTTCCAAGTTATGTCGGATTGATTTTAGTTCGTAACACTCAGTAGCGTTAAGTAGTCTACACATCGGTTGCATGAAAATTAAGCTTTTCAATATGAAATTCCACTATTTCTAGTTCATGGCAATTGCCATCTTCCAAATGCTAGTGACAGCATGGTAACACAATATATAATGGTTCTTAGCTTATCATCAACAGAACACAAACTAGGAGATAAATATATGGTGATGCATTTAAGATGGAACAAACATACTTCAGAGGTCTTGCAAGAACTCTCTGGCCAATGGTGACAAAACTTGTTTCTTGATTCGACATAAACCAAGCCAATGATGACACACTGCAGTTGGCAATGCAAAATCAGAGTCACCTAAACCTGAAAAATTAAACCAAACTGATTGCAAGCTAACTATATCTGACCTTCCAGTGAAAATATGCTCGCGAACACCCAGGATTGTAGGTGCGCGCACCCCATGATCCTCGTTAAATTCCTCAAGTAGGTTGCGCATCTTAAAAGCTTCTTCCAAATAGTTGTCCTAGAAAAAAGAGGATATTAATTAAGTTTGCTTTAACCCAATTATTAAATCAATTTAATGATTAGAGTTCTTCAAAAGTTACCTGATTCATGTCAATGGTCTGAAGAGCCTCCCCACGCGTGAAGATAATAGCGTGGTTTTGATTTTCAGGTTTCCCTTCTCCTATCTTTGCGGACCCGGGTAATTTTATGCGGTAGATTTCCTTCATCAAAAGAGAAACTTAATCAAGGCTGGGGCTGGAATGAATAATTTGCTCATCTTATTCGAAATTAGAAAATTAATGCTACCTGATCAAGATTATCAACAGCTTTTACCAATACAGAATAATAAACCTTTTGGTTTTTCCCACCTTCCCTTTCCTCAACTTCATCTATATATGCTACTCGAAGAGATGGATTACTGAAAAAAAAAACCCGACCGAGTTTGCAGTTAGAAAACCTCATTTGCCTAAAGGATTCAGAGTTCTTCAGAATTTTTCACCGTGAGAAAAATGTGCAACTTACTTAACCATCAGATTTAAAATGTCTGTCGCACGACGATCTCCACTTCGTTTCTGGTTCCCATAGTTTTGACAGGTGGCAACATATGTGAATTTCATGTCAGCCACAGCCTCTAATTGTGTATACATGGATCTCTGACTCTTCTTATCTTCTGCTGATGGTTCTGTAATGGTTTTGTAGCCTTCAAGTATCTCTGTTCCATTTAGATAAAATCTGTCAGAAGCAAAACCACCGGAGTACCTCTTAAAACTGCTTTAGCAGTTGCTTCTCTGAGTATAAAGTTCAGTCATAATGACTTTGATGGTTCACATTGGACTTCAGATGTTAGACAGAAATGGAAAACAAAAAAGAAATAGAAAAACAATTCATTCCTTCACTTCACACAACATACAGACGTTAATTTTTGTGAAATATTGAGTTTTTTTTGACATTACAACTGTAAGCATGCTCCTTCAGTAAATTGTAAAGGCCCTCTCTCTTACCATCTTCTGTAGCCATATCAAGAAAAGCCTGAAGTTTCAAGGCCCTTCGGTAATACATCATGCCTCTGACTGCATGGGCGACAGATTTCGTCAGAACAATGCAGTTTATATTGGATGATCATGAACACAAGGCCTAAAAGAACTCAACTAACCTGTTCTGCAAAGGGTCTGTCCTCTCAAGGATGCCCAGTGGCGTAGTTGCAGTATGTTTTCTTCATTTTCCCAAATTTCAGATTCTTTGCAGTTTAGACGCTCCATGAAGTTGTTCCATTCATCTGATGAAGAATTTATACGAATTTCAGTAAAGTATACATCAGTTGAGTAACCTTTAAAATACAAAGAATGTTGCTGAGAATGCATCTCAGGTTGGACAAGTGAAGCAGACCGGGGAATATCTTTTGAAGGTAATATACGATAGACACGCCATCTTCATTTTCCATTTCAAGGTCACTTTTGGAGTAAACAGTCTCCTCGCTGTAGTATGGGGTCATTACACTACAAATGCCAATTGACAAGGTTATTAACGGAGAATTTTCGTTCTTGTAAAGAAACAAGCTAAATTTTGTTGAATATGTAACGTTAAAGTTAGTTAAACTAAAGGTCAATCTTTTTTCTCCATGCTGGCTAAGCCTTATGCTACTGTTTGTTAAATAAGCTAACGATGTATGACAAATACAATATATTTGCACCTGAATGACAACATTTTGCGAACCCGAGGTGCACGTGGCATATCCATAAAGAGTGAATTGGAGAAGAATGCTATCCTCCTACGTGCTTCGAGGTTTGTTGGGACATCAACTGCGGATTCTTTAACAGTAAGAAGCAGATAGAGGCGTCGTATCTGTGTGACAAGAACATAAAACGGTCATTCAAATTTCTATCTTTTTCCGCACAGCAAGATGTTTCAAGTTTACTGCATATATAGAATATTTAAGTGCAATCATATTTTCACGTACCTGTTCTTCCCATTGTGCGGTATTTGGGGGAGGGAAGTTAATGCTAGCAAAAAGTTGATTTCCAACTTGACCAAGCTCGGCAAGTTCACTGCATCGAACGAACAAAATTTACAAACTTAATCAGATAAGAGCAGTCTGCAAAAAAATTGTATATGGTGTATTAAATGGTGCACCACTCCACTACTTACCGGATCTCATTCACCATCATGTCACGGGTAACTACTTCTAACATATCCTGCATCAGTAAAACAACTCTATCTTTCTTGGATGGATCACTTTCTTTCTGCAAGGTACAAAAATAAGCTCAGTTACCTAGAAACGTAACATGAACGATAAAAGCTATAATGGTGAACACATGACTTTACCAATATCTCCACAAGCTCCACAAATTTCTTGAAAAGGCCAGGTAAGTGCTTCATTCTGAAATTTGCAAGGAGACTGCCCTTTGACATGTTGCTTTCTATTTCTTTAATGATGGTTCCAATGAACCTGTTCCAGGATGCCAATGTTAGGAAAGAAGCAAAACGATAAAAAAATCCCAAAGACTTCTGATTACTACAAGTCTATACTAGAATTACTAAAAACTAGAAGGTTTTGTACTATATGATCTAAAACCAAATTTACTTTGCAGTACCAGTACCTTTCAAGTTAATGCATACTAGTAGCAGTACAATGCCCGTATAATACGCAAAAGTTAATTTCAAATTACTACTTAAGAATTTTAAAAAGAAACAAAAAAAATAAAAGAAAAATAATATTTTAAGTTTGTAATACTTTTTTGAAAAATTAATTAGTATTATTATTCTAAAATGTAACCCGTCAAGCGTAAGATTTACTCATAACGACATATATATATATATATATATATATATATATATATATATGTTGCTTTATATATGAAATATCAATGTCAAACTGAAAATCGCTCAGAGATGATCAATCTGATATATCATATATGAAAAGCTGAAAATGAATAAAAAAGGTTAGTAAGTTTTAGAATAAATATAAGTTAAGCAAATGTTTTATAATTAAAAGTACTAATAGGCATGGATAAAAGTCCAGACCTACATGGACTGCTGCGAAGCACTAGAATTGACACATATGATTAAGAACCATAAGAAATTGACACATAGGATTTCAAAGCACCAAAAGTTAAATCTTGAGCTCGGGCATTAATATATAAGGAGGGATTTAGGGAACTACTTAAAAAATAAGTGAAGTGGTGAAGAATGATAATAAGACCACAAAAATCTCATATATAATAGTTTACCAAGTATCCTACTTCATGAATATAGGGAAAGAAAAAAAAAAAAAAAGCCATCGTCATGTAGCAGAAGTATAGAGAAATAATTGACTATAAGTACTCAGATACAGTACATCCACCAGAGTAACAGAAGTAAAGCATGCATGCAGAACTGATTTTAGAACCCTCTAGCATTGACATTGTGATAATATCGTAAGTAATGCAGTTATCTCATACTATGAAGAAAAGATAACCTTTTCTCCGTCTCTCGGACTATCAAGGCATTCAAAACATGTTTAAATGACTCATAGCATTCGGTTACAGCACACTTCATATACTCATCAGCACATATTCGCTTCCAGAGGTCAGCATCCTTAGACCGAAATTGAACAGCCATATCTAGTGCTATTGGAATCTACAAGGCAGAGGGTTAAATAAAAGAACAGAAGAAGAAGAAGAAGAACAGAGGAAATGGGGACTTCAAACAGCTCTCAAGAAACTGTAAAATGCGAATCACCTTGCTGGCGAGAAGAAAAGGGGGCCACTGAATTATTTTCAGGCTAGGATCGCACGAGTAAGGAACAAGAAGCAGATCCATCTCCCTGAGGTAAATAACCAAACTTTAGATACACTTTCATGTATTTGTCAAATGAAATTCAAAGATAGGATAGTGCACGAATAATGGTTAAGATTTGGGTCTTTTCCTATCACTTATTAGGTCCTCTTCCCGGAAACTGCTAATCACGTCGTTCCACAACTGTGCAAACTTAGCAGCCTCACTTCTCCTACTTGCATTGACCTTCAGATGGCAGTAAATGTAAACGAGTTGAGAAATGTAATGATAGTTGACAAAAAATGAGGACATGAAAGCAAATAACACAGAGAGAGTGATAATAACCTTATTGTTTTTCGAATGGAAAAACCCTCTTCTTCTGGATTTGTCAGAAGGCACCAGGCTAGTGTTGAATGCAGCCGGTAATGACTGAAAACGGGACCTTAACATTGCAAGAGTTCGGATCTGTGAATAGAAAGTTTCAGTAATAGCTAACATAAATACTATGAAAAATGAACTCTTTAACTTGGTGGTGTTTGTATTATATCTCCTGCTGCAACTAGCAACAAGATAAGTTGTTGAAGTTCAGGACGTGTTCTTAGTTTTGTATGCAAGTCAAAATGGGTACGAGAAAATCATGCCGAACAAAAGATGATGACAAAAGAGATAACATAATGGTAAAAGCCATAAATAAATGATACTATAATCTGTTGAACTTTCTAGGGGTTTCCTACCTCACCGAGACGATCAAAAGCACCTATAAAGCCTCCATACAATGTCGAGAACACAGAATACCAAATCTGAAGGTCCAAGAAGTAAACCTGTGACAGAATCGACATAACGATAAAGTAGGTTACAGAATCTTATAGAACCCAAAAAATCTAATCTCACGAAAGCGCACCATAATAACTGGTGCCCACAGTGCAACAACAGCTCCATAGTTGTTCCTAGCTGCACAGTATATAAGATTATTGGTATGACCAGAGTAGAGAAGATGATTCTTGAAAAAAAAA